GCAGCAGCAGCAGCAACAGCAGGTAGCGTTGGCAGCAGCAGTAGCAGCAGTAGTTTCGAAAATTTGGGGTTTAGGGCGTTTGAGGGGCCTGTTTTGCTTTCTGACGAGAGGAAAAGCACTAATCAAAGCTCATACTATGTCTTCGGATTTTCGGTTTAAGGGTTTAGTTCTCCTTTCTGGCGACAAAAACAGCACGAATGGAAGACCATGCTATGAAATGGAAGTCTCGGCTTAAGGGTCTACAGGTTTACTTCTCCTTTCTGACGGCAAGAACAGCACGAATGGAAGACCATACGATGTCTTGGGATTCTTTGTTTTAGGGTTTCTGCTGCACAGGTTTTGCTGTTACAAAGAGTCTCTGCTACACAGGCTTTGCTCTTACAAAGGGTTTCTGCAAGACAGGTGATAGCGAGCTTTTTTTAATGGCTTGGCTTGGCTTGGCTTGGCTTCGCGGGGGGCCGGGGGGGGGGGTGGGGTTGGTTGCTAATCTCAGCTTGTCAGGCAGGATGCCTCGGGTGACTCACCTGATGCTTTCAGGTGCTCCAACTCGACGCAGGTGCGCATTTCCTCCACAGAACATTGATGGAGGAGGTCGATCGTAGATGTCAATCAGCAAAACACATGTCTGTGATGTTCAAAACTGGTCCGGTTACAAAAGTTCCCAGGCGTCCTCGGAAGCATGGCAGTGGCCAGATACAAAGGCGACAAGCTCGTCCGCCTGTCCGTGCTTTGAAGATAAGCATTGCCGTGCAGCCGGGACCCTTTGAGGCCCCTTCACTCCGACGGCCTTGTGCCCAAGGGCTTGTAGAAGCCGAGACATGAAGGAGTGTGCCTTTCATGTGAACACATTCCTGAAACACTGCCCCTTCTCACGGTCGAGCCTCGGTAATGTGGCCATGGCTTTGCCGGCGGTGCGCCTGACAGATGCTATCCCCCGGACTCAGCTAACTTGCTGCCCCAACGTTGTTTCAGCTCCTCGCCTCCTTTTCGTCGCTGAGCTGGCGATGACGATCCTGCGACGCTCCGCAAGGGTCCGCAAGGTGGTTGCAATTTGTTGCACCTGCTCCCTAAACTTCCTGACGCTCCATGCGTGAATGATTCAGGCCGAGTGGACAGCTTAGCAGTGACGACGACAAATGACAAGCACCACTCTTTGCCCTTGCTCCTCAGCTTCCTGAAGCCGGCGGGCAAGCTCCTTTTCGGGACTGCACTCAAGGAGCTTTGGCTACATCCACACCAGGTGTGCGCAGCTGGCCTGACCCCAGGTTTCAGCTGCCTGGGCGCGTTCCTCCGATCACATACACTCGTAATCACTCATACACTGCAGAAGAGACTCCAGAGAGACAAGGCGGACACATAGCAGAAAGGAAGAAAAACATACGTTTCGTTCGCTGCACCGAGGCCTCCAATGCTTCTCTGTGCCTTGCGGCTTCCGCCTTGGTCTTCGGTATGAGAACAAACAGCAACTGTCTCTGCAGAATTGCCCACCATCCCGAAGTACCAGCCCATGCTCCCCCAACCTACATAGAGTTACATACTGGATTCTTTGTGAAGCTGACTTCCATCTCAAGCATCAAAAGTCAGCAGCAATCACCATCTCGAAACCCGGCAGTACCCCTGCGGCACCTCTGAGGCTGCATGGTCGCGTTGCTGAGACTCGCCTCGGGAGGGGTAGCCAGAGCACAGCCATGCGGAAACGGCATCCAGAAAGCTCCCAGAGTGGGTCCAAGTCTCTTGAAGACTCCAGACAGTCAAGGCGTGCCTTGCAGCTGGCCAGATGTACGGGTACACGGCGCGCACCAGGCTCTGAGCACCAGGCAGTGAGTTGCTTCGATTCCGATCGCAGGACTCGAATCTGAGCAGTGTGCTCCTGATCAGCCCAGACAGGTCTCCAACACGGCCAAGAAGCGAATCATGGCTCTGAGGATCCTGATGCTGCCGGTTTCCGCCCAGCTCTACGTAAGTCTTTTCCTTCTCCACGGCCTCGGTACCGTGATGTGATGCGACTGCTGCCACTTCTTCACAGTTTTCAAGAGCTGCGAAGCCAAGAGACACTCGCTGCGCACAGTATCGGCACCCTAGAAACGAGTTCACGTGACCTGGCCTCGCGCAGTTGCCGCTGCTCCCCAAGCTCGTTGCGAAACTTGTCTAACCTTTCAAATCGGAAGTGTAAGCTTAGGAACTTCGAATCGGAGTCTACTGTACACTGTCTTCGTCTCTGTGTCTCTTCGATGCACCCAGCGAAGCCCTCGGCTCGGCTCGGCCCGCGGCTGCCGCTCCAGGCGCTGCCGGTCCGAGAGCTTGTCCTCACGGGCCTGGCACCGAACTCTGCGCATCTCCGCGCACTCGTGTGCAGAGTTCTCCTGCGCGACTTCGCGACTTCTCGGTCCATCACGCAGCCCTTCGATCCCATCCAGAGCGGCTACATCCACTTTAAGAATCACGATGAATCACGTGAAAATACCTGAAAAACAAAAACCACTGCTTTGACGTTCGCATCTGCTGAGCCTGCGTAACCCCTGTCATCATGCTTCAACTTGCCAGCCTTCTGCAGTTGCTCCTTGGTGACCTGATCTGGCAGAACCCAGTGGCTCGCCACGTAGAGGTCGGAAGCATTAAGACAACTCCTGAGAGCCTTGCGACCAACTTTGCCTCCACGTCCGCCAACTGCGCAACGAGGTGCTGCTGCTCTTGGCGGAGCTGCTCGGCAGCCTCGGACGGCTATTTCAAGCGCAGAGGTACATGCATGTCGATGGAACCATGATGGAACCTTCTCATCTGAAGGACCGAGCCGACGACTAGCTCGGTCTCTCGCTCCCGTGCCTCCGCGACAGCAAAAGCCGAACTTCTGACCGCTGCTGGCAGTAAGTAGACCACTTTGCGGCCTCGAAGGTGCGCAGCTGCCGCTGAAGTGAGCGGCGCCCGATGCGCGACTCCTGTCGAGTGCACTGCAGGCAGAGTGGAAAACGCAGTACAAAACAATGAAAGCAACAGAAAACACGCTAAAGTTACCAGTAGTTGATCAATAGACAGATCCGGGAGGAACCGTGATGGGGTGTTTTCCAAGCCTCCAAGACCTGAGCTTGAGCTTCCTCTGCACGCGCGCGCAGAATGGGCTCTTGTGCCTCACAAGGTCCAGCGTCCCAGCGTGCCGCTTCTGTGATGCAAACACACCAAACCGCTCGCATGCCGTGAGCCTCAGAGTTCCGGAGCTTTCCCTCAAGCTGCCACTGCTCGTCCTGGGAAAGGGAAGCCAGCACAGCCAGCAGAACACTACAAAAGGCCACCGCGGCATCGGCCTGAAACTGCTGCAACTCTGCGGCCAACAGGTCCACTTCGATCTGGTGGGCCTACGAACAACATCTCGCTCGTATCGAAGAGGTGGTTCGCCCGCTATACAGTAGCTACTTCATGGCAACAGATCCTTCCTGCCAAGAAGTCTACACGAAAATGCCCAACATTTATGCAGCATGAGAAGCCTGTCACGGTACGAGACAGATACACTCGGTTTTGAAACCGTTTCTGCGCGGCTTCGACATGCCTCTCGAGCTTTCTTCAGCTCGCGGCGCCCAGACTCCAGGTCCTTCCAGGAGCCGCAAGAGGCGAAGCCAATGTGGCGAGTAGGCCGCCAGTAGGCACGAAGCGAAGGGGCCTTTGTGAGTTCAGCTTCGCGGCCCTGCACCGCACGCAACTCTTGGACGGCCTGGCACTCGCGAACGTACCCACCTCATTGATGCTCTAAGCAAACTGAAAAGCCGGGATTTTAGTTTCCAGGGTCGCAGAGGCCGACGTTCATGTACAGGGTGGGTGAATGAATCATGAGCTGACCGATGTGTCGGGAAACCTAAACACAACGTTCTTGTGTGGGTGTGTGTGTGTGTGTGTTTGAACGGTCCCCGATCATGTCCTCGATCATGGGCTCCGGCAGGTCACTCTCCATTTGCTGTGCAATCGCTCTGCAATAGGACGCCAGTTTGTGTCAGTGCCAGACAATCTAATTTCAGCAACGGCGTGCAGCACTTTCGGCTTCGGCATACTGCACGCAACGAATCTATTGCCAAAGGTGGGAAGGAATCAGGGACGCTTGATCCTGTACTTGCAACAAAGTTTGATCCTACTCTTACAAGCTGTGCATGGTGCCATCCTGTGATATATCGTCGCTATACAAACATAGTCAGTCTGTGCAGCCAGTTGGCGCCAGCCTCAGATCTGCAAGCCATAGGACAAAATGTCAGCGCCAGTGACACGCAGCTCGAAGCAATTTTCATGCATTTTTATGTACGGCTTCTGCAATTTGAGCAGTTTTGAACAGCCGTCCAGCACCACAGCATTCCACCTAGGATTTCGAGGTAACTATATCCAACCGAGAAGGCACCCTCCACTTTATCAGTGTGTCAACAGCGGCTTCCGTCACGGCGCCGTGGTGGCCTCGATCGGAGGCAGTCCTCGTTGAAGGGGAGCCGAGCATTACACACCCCTCGAGGTTCTTCGCCATTGACCTCCGTTCTTGCTACAGGTAGCGGTAGTTGGGCCACCCGATTCGAGGCCTAAGGTACCTCCATCTCGGCTTATGGGAACCTTCTCACCCACTTACAGGGTGAGACATGTGCATCTGGTAATTCTAGAGTGGTCTGTGTGCGCACTGCTACCTCCGCTGGCTGGTCTGTCTCGCCTTTTCGTATTTCCATCACTCTTCTCTATTCTGCCTTTGTACAGGAGCGCATACGCATCTGACATGAGGTCTAATGCTGTAAAGTGTCTTGCACTAAAATGCTAATGCCTTCGAAAGAGCCCGACCGGTTGGATTTGTCTCGTTTGCGCAAGCTTTCAGCAACGCCACTCTACGTGGCACTTTGCAGACAGCATCATGCAGTTTCACTTCGGGCAAAGCATGCTGCCGGACCAGCTGCCCACAACGACTCCCATGAACATCGGACCTCCAACGAGAGGCCGGTTTGCCGCAGCATACAATGACTCAGCAGCCTAGGATGGCACAGCCAGGAAAGGAATACCGGTACAGCAACCGGCGGTGCACATGCAATCACCTCCACAGCAGTACGGAGGCACGCCGCTCTTCACAGTGACACAGGCACCGCCACAACCTTACCTCGCCCCGCCACCTATGCAAGCAATGCAAGCATGCACACCAAGCTACCTCCCACATCAGCAGCCTTTGGAAGCCAAGCCAGCTGCACTTGAGACCACTCTTCATTGATGTATGGATTGTGACTACACCGTTGTCATAGAACAGGAGCGACCATAGCACTACATTGTTTCCATGTTTGAATGCTCCTTTGGGTACAGCCTTGTGACTCTTCAACTGCTTGATGGCCCATTCCCGTTCGGAGGGGAGAAACCTTTCGATCGGCAGTGGTTCTTGCTTCTGCAACTCGAAGCGTGGCGCTGCAAACAGACTCTTGACATAGGTTGTCAGCTGTTGACATTCTTGATCCGGGTTTTGCAACCGTCCGTCTGCGTCCTAAAGACGCCTCCCCCGTGTTTTTGGAGCAATCACTCGGATGTACTTGTAGTAGTCTCTGGATTGATGCTGACAGTCGGAAGATTCAGCATGCTCAAGTACCCTGGGAAGTTGCTCCCTCTTGCGTTGTCTGGCTAGGCGCTGCACCTCTCTGCGCGCCCGGCACTTCAACAGCGCAAGCTGCCAAGCACCGAAAAGTCTGCCAACGTACTGCTACTACTGCTACTAACTACTGTTGCCACTGTTGCCACTGCTGCTGCTGCTGCTGCTACTACTACTACTACTACTACTACTCCTACCCCTACTCCTGCTCCTACTCCTCCTCCTCCTCCTCCTCCGCTTATTCCTACTCCTCCTACTCCTACTCCTACTCCTACTCCTTCTCCTGCTGCTGCTACAACAACAACAACAACTACTACTACTACTACTACTACTACTACGAGTTCGAGCACGACTACGACTCGACTACTACTTCTGCTACTACTACTACTACTGCTACTACTACTACTACTACTACTGCTACTACTACGAGTTCGAGTACGACTACGACTACTACTGCTCCTACTCCCACTCCCACTCCTACTCCTCCTAATCCTAATCCTAATCCTACTCCTACTACTCCTACTACTCCTCCTACTCCTACTCCTACTCCTCCTCCTCCTCCTCCTACTCCTACTCCTACTCCTACTCCTGCTCCTCCTCCTACTCC